GGTTGGGCGTTGTGTGGTATATTTATTAAGTATAGTTCTTTGGGTAGCCTCGATGCTCTTCAAACATGATTCGTTCATTCACTCCCTTGTTAGGAATTCGTTCTTACCCCCCACCCTCTCTTTTTTTTTAAAGATCTAGGCAATAATTAAGAAGCGGAAGAGGTCAATCAAATAACTCTTAAAAACGAGCGCAACAATCCAGACGGGTGATTTCAAGAACTTGATATGGTTTACGGAAGACTGTAGAGCTTTTCTCAATTTTATTACTAACTTTGGACGAAAATATAAAAGTTTAATTTTTTTATCGAAATAATTATGTGCGTTACCATAGAATAATAACTAATTATAAAACTAAAGCTAATCGTTATATAAAGTGCCAAACATTTAAAAAGTAAAAAAAAGAAACATTTGCAAATAAGTTTTATTAATTAGACTTGTGGTTTTAGTACTATGTATATTATTAATAATTCGTTGCGTAACCAAAATTCTCTGTATTTTATTATAAGTTAGCGTTAATGATCGTTTATTGGTTTTTACTTGTGTTCTTAAAAACAAATGAGAACAGGTTTTCCTAATAAGGCTGTAATTTTTTGGTACCATGGTAAATTTGATGTAAATTAATTTATATTAAAAATTTTAGATAATTTTAAATATGGTTATATACTTCAAGCGAAGAGTTCATCACAATCAATTAAACATTAGTATATATTTGCCTTATACGCAACTTAAAATTAGTTTGTAGGCTGCAAGACTGTCCAATAACATTTGCATGTCAGGCTTTTATACATTTGTATCGTAATTTCGACATGCTGGTTTATTCGTAAGATAAGTGTTTAGTTTGGTCGCACGCCCATTTATCGATAGTGTGTGCTGTCTCGCATATTATACGAGGATGAAATAAATAACCTTATCCATTATCCTAGATGACATGCCAAATCAGTATACAAAAAGAGACATTTCGCCCAATGACCGTGTGAACTCAATAACGGAAAAGAAAATTTTTAATCCGATTTACAGCTATAATTATTAGTGTAGGCAGACTGCAAGCGAAAGACCGGTGCAGCTCTTTGTATTAGTACGTGTATTAGGAAACATTATACCAAATTATAGCCTGACGGAGTATCTTAATAACGAATGATTGAAACTTTCTCCCTACTTACCATATAGTTCGGACCATATTCCTTGTATTTTTTCTTATTCCCTCGAATAAAGAAACAGCTGGAGGGATAAGGTCGGAAATTTGGCAAAGGCCGTCCAGGCAGTTGTTAGAACCATCCCAAAAGCCGACTATGAGAAGTCTTTCCAGAATCGGCATAATCGTCTGCAACGTTACATAAATGGTACTTTGAGGAAGTTAAATAGTCAAATCGATAAATTTCTGGAAATAAAAAAAGACATTGAACTATGAACTACCAACTTACCAATACTACTGACAATTGCAGAAAAAAAATATCTTTGCAATAAAATAATTTACCCCCAATTTTTAATGGGGTGGCTCAACCAACATACAGTATAATAACAACAAATTTATTTGCAAAACAATACATCAAAATAAAAGTAAACTATTCTTCAACATAATAATAAACGCTCGTTAATACTAATATTCTTGACTATCACTAATCTATTATGCTGCAGTTAACTAGCAGCAGTGTTTTGTTAGTGACTATGCTCGGACGCTGGTTTTGACTTTCCTATTGCATCCAAATTTAACAAGTCACATTTTAATTTCCTGCTATATAACCATTTTTAGCTGATAGTAAAAGTGTTCACTTTGTCTCGGCTTACTTATTGCTCAATAATCTTGATGGCATGCTATGAGTCAAATTGAGTATATGTGCTTTTTTCATAGCTTTGTGAGGAGGTTTTACCAGATTTATAGTGCACCAAATGACATTTGGGACCGTGCAATGGTATTGAAATTGTGGAGATTATTAAGCACTGTACGACTAGTGACATTAAGATCGAGATAATGCTTATTTAATATATTTGCAAGTTTGGCAGAAGTAAAGTATGGATTACTTGAGACAAGTTGACCAGGGTAACGATGCTGATTGAAAGAGAGTTTTCGAACATGGTTTAGGTTCCAGAGATGTTCCATTTTTAAGTTTTAGTAGGTAATCATATATTGTGGAAGCGAAATAGAAGTCAGTTTACGTAATGTGTTGGCATCTTGAGTACCATTTGCCCATAGAGAAACTATAGTCTTACGAAATTGATCAAACGAAGGCTTTATCATAGTATTTTTAATAACAAAACAAAAGGTGTGAATAAATAAGACAAACTGCGCGAATTGCAAAGTTAGGAGGTTGCGTTTTTTGTCAGTGCTACGTGTATAAGGTTAGAACGTACAAAACCTGTTAGACAACTTTTTGATTCGACGCATGTTTCGGGAAAAATTAACATTTACTTGACACACATTCTATTCCGAAAGCTTTTTTCGCGTATATTATATTGTCCCGAATCGAATATTTTTCGAAAGCCATCTCAAACAATAAACATACAAACATGAGACTTAAAAGTTATCGTAAATGTCGTCCAATAAACCATATTTTTTGGCTAAAGTAAGCGAGTAATTTTCAACTTGAAAGTAATGCGAATTCTATGTTAAGGTTTTTTGTTATCATAAATGCAAGAAATAAAAACTTTCTGCCGATGAATAACGTCATAGATAAAATCATAACACAAACAGTCCTGTTGAAAAAGAATGTTTACTTATGTACTTTATTACAGTCAACCTTTATTTTATTGTTTCACTTTTCATTTTTTTGATGTTTTTGGAGAGGTTTACTTTAAAAACCATATTAATGGAGCGATTTTTTGATCTTCAGAATGCTTCTAATAACAGTGATTATGATGTAATTCTTGGTTCCATATTTTGATTTATAATAGTTTAATGCATGGATAATCCTACATTAAATGTGTTGTATATGTTTTAACTTAACCAATTAAACGTTGAATTAATCACCTTTACCAGAAACCCTGAAGGATTTGATGTCTCATAATGTTTTATAACCTACACTGACATCTTTTATTCGAAAATTCGCCTGTAAAACATAAGTATCGTTATACTTTCCGGGGGAAAGGAGCTGTAGTTCGATGCGTATGCGTGAGCTTTATAATCGATACCCGAGTCATTCTTCTTAGATAGTGTATACATGACTTTGAACCTAATGTGCGCAATTTTACAGCGAATAAATTTTGATGTAAACGTCTTGCTTGTCTCTGAAGCTCAAAAATCATATAGACTTTTTAGATTTCATTTTGCGTATATTGCTGATTCAGGGCCCAGCACAATTGTGACCACATGTTCCAATTCGTGCATCATTATTAGAACTCGCAATATCGTCTATTCTGATAACCAAAAATTGTATTCATTCTGATTGCACGACGTAAGGTATTATTGTAGTACCAGCAGTAGGTGAACTAACCATATTGAACAAGCCTTGGCTGTGTATATAAGGTTCTATAATGCGACTCAAGAGAAAGCAGGTTTTTCCCCGTCTTTGTCTCGATATTGTCGATGAGTTACATATCGGATTACCAGATTATCAATCTCATTTATGTTAAGTTAATCGAAACCCTGATGTCTATTCTCCAGACTATCATTGTGTAATATTAATTAAATCTATTAAATCTTATCTTCTTATCAGTTAATAAAAAAAAAAAGAAGTCTTTTCTCCTCCCAACATGTAATTTCGATCAATAACTATTCAGTTCAGTTAGCGATAAAGTGGCCAGTTCCCCAAATTACTAGTGCGAAACCTTTTTTCCCGAAAACCTTTATTGTCCCTGTTTACTGTTACTATGCAGAATCGCAATGGTTTTTGAAGCCGATACATACATATCATAATGAACTTCGCAACTCGACATATCGCGGATTCGTACGGGCAATCCCTAGAGGGGGTGTTCGGAGAAAAGAATTTTCATTTTTTACTAATTGACAAATCAAACTAGCTTTAGCGCATATCTGCGCACTCTTGGCAATCAATGTCATATAGCATACATACATACGTCATAAATCAACATAGGTGTTACTATTACTTCAATCATTTATCACGTGTTTGATATGACTATCACTGTTTGAGCCAAACAGGACGCTCTTGCCTAATTTACGTAACAGCGAAAAAAAAAATTTAAACTGTATCGTTCATGGATTGCCTTACCCAGAGACAGTCTCGTGAACTGCTGCATTCGATTGGTTTGTTACACGATATCTCGTAACAACTTTGCTGTACGGGGTGCCATGCATTCTGTTAATTATCAGACGCCCCCTTAGCGCTGTCCGATCATAGTACAACCTGGTGCAAAATCTCCACTGGTGCCTTCGCCCGTTGACAGCAGATCCCCGGTTTTTATTACACCTTCCATTTGAACAGATTTAGCAGATTTCCACCAATTTATATGGTATTAAAATCAACAATAAGCCGATTGTAATTGCAATCATGACGATTGCATCACCATTATTTTTAGCCTCATGTTCACGTTCTTCCAGTTGTGTGTGACATATTCATATTCAGTAAAATTTTGAGAAGAATATAAATAGGTTTACAAAGAGACTTTCTCTCAAAGTAGCTTGTGTTCTCGCTGCTGATAACAACGCAAGATTAGTCTGTCTCAAAGCGGAGTGTTTGAGATCAATAAGCTATAAACTCCCCTTCTGTAGCGTTGCCGGCTACTTTTACTGCAAGAACACGTCGTTTTACGAATACAACCATGTCACAGCCTGATGATACTTCAGAGATTACTCCACAGGCAGACCAGCCCCAAAAAATTCAATTCGCCGGTGTCGAAAAACCCGAGCGTCCGCACGCAAACGAACCGACACCACCACCTCCCTCCTCACATACCGAAAAGCAAAATGCTACTGACCGTGGTGGCAAGTCAAAACCTCTCGATATTGTTAGTATGCTTTATACACACAACTCACTCTGATCCCATACCTTTTTTCGTGACGATATTAATGTGATCTATTATCTTTAGGATGAACACTTGTTTACACCAGAAGAAATCGCCCTGCGATATAAGGTCGAAATTAACGTCCAGAAACCTCAGTTGGGAGGATTGTCAACTGCAGAGGCCGAAAAACGATTAGCTGAACAGGGACCAAACGTCCTGACACCGCCAAAGAAGACCCATCCAGTCATCAAATATTTGGAGTGTTTGTTCACTTTGTTCAATATATTGTTGATTGTTGCTGCAATTTTCCAATATATTCTGTTAGCTATCGATTATGAAGCTAATAAGCCTAACGTGAGTTGTCGTGTTGTGGCTTCTTATACCACAAGTCAGCATTGGCTTGCATTGCTAACTAACCAAACACGTCGATTTAGATATACCTTGGAGCTATCTTGATCGCTGTTGCTTTCCTTAATGCTTTCATAGAGTTTTATCAACTTCAAAAGTCTGCCGCAATTCTTGAATCCTTCTTGAACATGATTCCACAAAAGTGCTTTGCCGTACGTGATGGGAAACTGGTCCAAATACAGGCGGCAAATATTGTCTGCGGAGATGTCGTAATGGTAAAAATGGGTGACAAAGTTCCTGCCGATATGATGCTGTTTGCGACTACTGATTTGAAAGTGGACAACTCCTCTCTGACCGGTGAATCAGAACCACAAGAGCGAATACCAACCAACACTCATAAAAATGCTCTGGAAGCTACGAATCTTTGTTTCAACGGCACTCTTGTTGTCTCTGGAGAGGGTTATGGTATTGTCATTCGTGCAGGCGATCACACAGTACTGGGTCAAATTGCCGGTTTGACTGCGGGAGAGAAGAAAAATAAATCCCCCTTGGCACGCGAAATAGACGACTTTGTGAAAATTATTGCAACAATTGCCATAATAACAGCTCTTGTCTTTTTCGGCGCCGGAATGAAAGTCTATCATAATCAGATTTCTCCTACCCTCAATTTTGCCATGTCTGTATTAGTGGCTTGGGTTCCACAGGGTTTACCGGCTACTGTCATGGTGTTGCTGACAATTGCTGCCAAACGCATGGCTGCACAGAATGTATTAGTCAAGGATCTTCAAGGAGTGGAAACGCTTGGCGCTATAACTCTATTGGCCACGGATAAGACCGGCACTCTAACCCGAAGTCGAATGACTGTGACTTACCTTTGGACTGCATTGAAATTGCACAATACTTTCCGAAACCCTCAAAATGACTCACCATTTGATGTGAATGCCCCCGGTATTCAAGAAATTATTTTGAATTCTGCTCTATGTTCGCGCGCAAAGTTTGATCGAACGGATGTGCCATTTAACGATCGAGAAATTCTCGGTGATGCAACAGAGACGGGACTTGTTCGCTTTGCCGGTCAAAATATACCAGACTACGATAAAGTCGTTGCCAGCCATCAGAAAGTTTTCGAAATTCCGTTCAACTCTGATACTAAATGGGCGCTTACAATCAACAAGAAACCGCATGAAAATGGCGATCTAACCCTCTACATAAAAGGCGCACCTGAACGCATCCTACGACTTTGCTCCACTATTTTAACTGAAGATGGAGTGATCCAGTTGACGGATGAGCACAAACAGCAGTATAACGATACGTATGAATTCATGGCGTCGAAAGGTCATCGTGTTTTGGCATTTGCACAACTGCAATTGCCGCGCAGTCAATATCCGGCTGATTACAAGTTCAAAAAAGAAGACAAGAATTATCCTATGGACAATTACTGTTTCCTTGGCTTGGTCTCTCTCGAGGATCCTCCAAAACACGGTGTTCGTGAAGCTATAGGACGTTGTCGATCTGCGGGAATTCGCGTTATCATGGTGACTGGTGACCATCCGCTAACAGCTGAAGCAATTGGACGTAAGATCAATCTCATGTTGTCTGATACGAAGGAAATGGTGGCTAGGCGTAAGAAAATACCAGTGGAGCAAGTTAGGGAAGAGGAATACAGTGCAATTGTAATTCACGGAGAGCAAATCGATAGTCTAAGCGATTACGATTGGGACCTTATATTTTCTAAAAATGAAATAATCTTTGCGCGTACATCACCTCGACACAAACTTGAAATAGTTAAACGTGCTCAGGCTATGGGGCATATTGTAGGAGTTACTGGCGATGGCGTCAACGATTCACCTGCTCTCAAGAAAGCAGATCTGGGGATTGCAATGAATCAGTCTGGTTCAGATGTATCAAAGGAGGCAGCAGCTATGATTTTATTGGATGATAATTTTGCATCTACGGTGAAGGGGATCGAAGAAGGGCGTTTAATCTTTATCAACCTCAAGAAATCCATTCAGTATACACTTTCTCATTTAATGCCTGAGATTGCATCTGCTCTTCTGTACGTTGTCGTTCCTCTTCCATTACCGCTATCAGCCATTCTTATTTTAGTCATTGATCTGGGATATGAATTATTCGCTGCTCTATCTTTTGCTTGGGATAAGCCGGAAAGTGAAGACGGATTAATGAGATTGCCTCCTCGAAGGCCAGTTACGACAAAAACTACGGAAAAGATTCGGAGTCGTGCTCTTATGCGCATACCAACTATTACAGATCCTGAGACAGGATTACCAAAGGATATTTCCAGAATGGACCGAATTGCTTTACGTTTCAAGAAATTGACGAGTAAACAGTGGTGGAAACAGAAATTGGACAGAGGCGAGGGAGAAATACTTGTAGATGGAAACGTTTTAAGTTGGGCCTACCTGGAGATTGGAATAATCGAATCAATTGGCGCGATTCTTGCCTACCTGATTGTCTTAAACCATAATGGCATATCACCTCATGATGCACGAGATATGCAAAAACAGGGTGTATATTTCGTTGATGGGGCTCCTCCGTACAAAACATCCAGTGGTAAAACTTTATCTGCAGATCAACAAATAGAAGCCCTACGACAAGGACAATCAATAGTGTATCTCGCAATCATGATTCAACAAATGTTTAATCTTTTTGCCGTGAAAGCCAGATTTAATTTACCGTTTGGCAAATATATGTTCTCGAATCCGCGAAATTTTGCCGGTGTCGCTGGTGGTGCAGCTTTGGCAATGGCTATCGTTTATATTCCTCCTGTCAACGTGGCATTCCAAACGAGCTACAAGCTTAGTCCGCTTTACTGGCTAATAGCTCTCGGAATGGGATGCGTAATCATCTTATATGCCTCTATTCGTCTTTTAATTCTTCGCCGAAGCCGACCCACAAAATATAATGATGAAATTAGAGGTCTGAATTTAGTTCCTACGATATATTCTGAAACGTTTCACAAATAGTCTATAGATTGTAAAAAGGAGTTTCGGTTTTGAAATGGTATGTTTTAATTTCAGGGGCAATAATGTTGTAGATTATTTATGATTTAATAAAATCTTTCGAAATTGCATAAAAGACTGTTCATCGGTGCTATTCTCCAAGATGATTAACAATTGCATACATTGCTTTATCGTTTGTAAAACACATCGGGGTGGAGTATATACAAAGTTAAAACGTAAAACGTGAAAGAAATCTAGATGACGTTTTCATGTTTCTAGTGTCGGCATTTTGCAGCTCCGTAAATGATCTGATGTTAATGTAGTCTGAATAAGTGAACTGTCGGGCAAGTATCGAATGCTTAAATAAACTGTGTTTAATAGCCATATTTTACTATTAATTGAGCCAGATGTTTATTTTTTGTTATTATTATTTATTAACTAACAGTACAGTCAGTTATCTGGGTTAGTTAAATGATTAATGATCATTACGATGGGATAATCTGGCTGATTACTAACAATTTTACTAAGTGGAATAATCTGGTTAATGACTAATTCAGCGAACGTGCAATAATAGTACAATGTACGGTAAGTATTGTTCTGTTTCCTCTTTTTCTTTTTCCTTTCTATTATGAGGAACGTGAATAATAACATTCCTATTTGTTTATAGGAGGTTCGATTTAAAGATGTAATTGCATTGCACACCTTATATTTGTTTACCCGTACGCTTTTTTATTTGTTATTGAGTTTATCTTCGCTATCATAACCATGGTAATATTCAGCATTTTTGATCGATTGGATTGATTTTCGTCATAAATCACTAATAATTCAGCAACCAACAATCCTGTATTTACACATTTCTTACTGATAAATGTTATGCAAAAAATCGGCACCAAACTATTAAGTGTGCATATACCGATTGGCTTGATTCTTCGAAAACGCGAAATCGATTTTTTCATCGATTGCTAACAACACAACAACCAGAAACTCTATACCCATGGGTGTTAATTTCCATCTCCCTTTTCGCTTCTTCGATAGCTTTCTTATTCTCTTTCAATATCTCGCGCCGTTGCTCTTTTTCACATTCTCTCAACTCTTCCCAATCACCCTCCCAACCACTCTCTCAACCATTCTCGCAACCATTTGCCCAACCACTCTCCGAATTACTTTCCCTTCACTCTCCAATCTCCTCTGCTCACACTTTTTGTTTAGTTAGTTTATCCAGCGATCGCATTTGAAATCCAACCAACTTTGTTTACGCATTTAACATGATCGACCTTGCATATCGACCCTGAATTTGATGATCGACATTAACATTAGTATTAGATTTAACGTATACTAAATCTTGTTTCGCTACGAGCGATACTCGATTATTGTACTACAACTAGTCCGATGATTATGATTGACTATTCATAACGAAAGGTTGAAATGTTAGGTATTCTGAGAACCTCCCAAAGGTTGAGAGTAATAAGAAAACGATTAAAGTTAATGCTGTAATTAGAACGTTCGTTCCTATTATAACGTTCGTTACGAAAGAGAGTTAATGATGTCGCGTTAATACCATTATTTGTTTCAAAACGGGGACAAGCCTTTCCGTCGGTTTAAAGCGTAGTAATCTTACTATGTGTTCCTACGTTGCGAACATTTAATAACTTTCTTAATTAACATGATAAATGCTATGGTTCCGATGTGATTAATGTGAATAAGAAAGATTAATATCGTATCGTATGGTTATAATGGTTGGATAAATTGTAAATAATTGTTCGCCGTTCGAACAAAGTTTTATTTATTCACTTAACACATCGATGAAGTAATCTCATTGCTATATACATTTTCATCGTTATTATCAACCGAGTATGGATAACATCCTACCTAGGGGATGAATAGTATAACGGGAATATTCTATTGAATATTCGACAAGTTGAATTCCCTCATTTGAGAGTGTTCATAATTGGTTTGCTGTCTGATTCACTGAACCGAAATATCTATAATTAGCACATGGCAACAAACACGTTTTATAACTTTCTAAAATTATTTCAAGTTCTTTCTCAAAGTGCTTTTCCCCTTTTTGTTGGGCTGAGGCTTGGAGCCCATCACTGAAGCGACGCTGATATATTAGGTCCATTGCGTCCACAAATTGCTCTCTTCTTCGAACTGTTGAGCCTCGTTCCATCGTCGACTGACATATTGGAAGTCCGCTTCCTCTTGTTGTCGTACTGGTATCTTCGGGCGTATTTCTCGACTTCTTCACTTCGGGAGCCGGAGTATGCCCAGGTGACTTCCTCTTCCGTGATGGTGGGTTTTTTAAGCTGTTGTTCGATCGTTCTGAACACCCATCCATCTTCGTCGTCGACGTATATCCAGGATCCAAGGGCTTGATATCCTGGATTGGGCTTACTTTCTTCTTGCCACTTTTGGATTCCCCTTCGTCGAGAGTGTGGCATGTGGCTTGGAATCTTCAGATGGCTTCGTCGTTTTTGAACAGGAACTCTGGATAGGGGTAATTGCATGAGAGTGCCTGGTATTGGACTGTATTGATTCGTTTTGGCTAGTAGGCCTCAAGGTAGCTGTAGACTTCGTGGAAGTAGGCCCAGATCGTGAGCCTTTGTCCTTGTTCTTCTCTGGTGGCAGTATAGTAGTGTTCGTTGGCCTTGAGTTGCCAATTCTTTGAGCTAATGAGCTCGATGAAAATTTCGGGAGATAGTTGTTGGCCATTGACCTGCATTGGGTATCGGTAAGTGTTTGATTTTGTTCGAATTTGTTTCTCAGTTGCTGATGAGAATATTTGTTGCTTGCTTGAGTGTTGCTAGCTTCAGTATTTTCACTGATGTGAAGATGAGGTCAAGGCTGGGGGAAAAGGTGTGTTTATATAAGTTTTCAGAGTTGAAGTGTTACATTACATTGATATGGTCCGGCGCAAAAAAGTTGATACACCAATATGCTTATAGTAGAAAATTGTTTTTTGAATTCATTCATATACTTAAATAAAATTGGGTTTTGAGGAATGTATCAGTAGAAATTTATTAAAACATGCACAGACAAAACAGTTTTACTAGTCATCAATCTCTTCAACTGCTTCACTATCACTTTCGACCAATAATATATCATCATTTAATTCTTTGGCGATCTTTTCCAAAACCCAAGAATTACCTTAGACGTAACCTTTTCGTTAAATGCATGCAATAATTTGTCTCTAATAGCAAGAAGATTAGGATGTGGACCAGTTCTAGCAACTTATGTATGAGATCAACAACATTGTGGTCGGGGCGTTTCCTTGGACGCCCTTGCATTCTTCGCTCTGAACGCTCTGAGAATTTTTCATTTTTTACTGCTATTATGTTCAGCAACCACTCGCGCAAGGGTTGCCTCACCAATTCCAAGGACCGAAGCAACCTCCTTGCGTAGTGGTAAGTCTGTACGTTGCGTCTGGTACTGTCGAGCGTTTAAAAGTATTGGTGAACGCGAATAATCATTCGTTTTTCGTTACTGGTTAAAGAACTTCGCTCTCTATCTAGGTCTTCCATGGGAAAGATAAATGATCAAGTTTGTTACGAATATTTGAAGTTCGACATTTTCCTTACATTTTATTTCAGGTGACAATTTCGTGTATCAACTTTTTTGCGCCGGACCATATCATATATTGATATTTCAAAGGTAAGTTATAGTAAACAAATATGCAAGCATGACAAACATCGGATTGTTGGTTGCTGAGCTGTTTGTTGAATGATGACGAGCGATATTTGAAGAATCAAATTAGCCGTTTAAATCGTACTTAATGTTCAGCATCCTTTTTGCATGACGAAAATCGATTTCTCGTCTTTGAAAATCAAATTAATCGTCATAATAACCATATTACGTTATTAAAAATGTTGTAATTCACTAATATGTAAAGTAATTTTAAAAGAAATAATTAAACAATTGAATATATAAATGTAAAACCTTTGGTTGCGCGTTAGACTTTTTATGGAATCTGCGCATCTTTACCCATACATACGCAATAATTTTATCCAATCTGAGACAAACTTCGAAACCGCCTGCCTCAAGAGCGTGAACATTCGAGAAATAAAGTTTCAAAGATTACCTTAGGTTGGAATGTGGTAAAGCCAATCCGATACGCATATTAATTTTTGCACGGTTTGAAGTTACTTCACTCTTGTCTTCAAGCCTAAACAGGTTGTTGAAATTCTTTAAGAGAATGAGACAATACTCTGTTATATTTACAATCGTAAATAGCCACGCCACGGTTTTTCCACTTTCTCTCATACCATAAAGCGACTCGCCATATTAAAAATCTTCGAAAGACATACAATTATTTTTAATCATATACATTCTCTTCGGTACTTGATCTTGCAATATTCTAACGCAAATGTGGTATCCAGAAAAAAAACTGTTAATAAACTGCATGGTTATATTATTCGAAAATAGTCTTCTAACTCTAGAATGGTGTGCGCTGCATATATATGTAATTCTTGGTTATAAGACTCCCAGTCAATGACCGGTCTTATTTTATTAATCAGTTTGTAAATTATGCTTATAATAGCTGGTTGATAGATTGGAGTATTTATTAATTATTGACACATCGTACTTACCGTCTCATGAAATGTAACTGGTTTATATTTCTAAGTTTTTCATTAAAATACGATGGACTGTATAGGAAGAATATATTAGATATCACTTACCAAATTATTTACGTCATTTTTATATTATTTAAAGCTTCCTTAATATTCAGGGTTTGTTATTAACTAAAATAAGCAACAATTGTTAATAAATCAATTCTATACGATGTACAGCGTTAAGTTGTTAAATACAGACTGTTTCGTTCACGCGTAGATAGCTTTTCAGCTAATTTTTATCTAAAGAAAAGAACGTTACAGGCATAGAGAAAACACGTTTAAATATTAGAATCAATTAACAGAATGGTAATCTCAGAGGCTATGTAAGATGGTTCATGTTTCAATAATAAATAATCTCTCTTATAAACACAACCGCCGAGTACCATTGTAAAGACAAGGAGCTTAGCGATGCTTCAGACCAATTTCATCACCACTGTTATCTATAATACATATCTATACAAATCCATATATTGTCCTCATTATCATAATATGTCGATTTGGTGGTTTCCATATTAATATGTTATAAGGACTACGTTTGCTTTCTCTAAACTTGCATCCTGCTCTCCACTTCTACCGAAAATTATCCATGAAATTCCTGTCCCGAATATCTCGCTTTCCCAATCACTTACCTAATCGTTTTCCTGAGTCATTGCTCAATACTGTCTCCATTAATTCAAATGTGCTTGATTCTGTATCGATCAGTTGAATTTATCTTCTTTAAAAAATTTGCCCCTCTTGTCACGAAACACATGTTTATGTGCAGCTTTTTTTTTTTAGTTTATCAAGACATAGTGAATCGATAAAGAATAATAACACGGAACAATAAATGCTAAACTTATCGCTTCATTGGGTAATGAAATGTTAGATAAAAGTTGCCCAATTGGCCATCCGAAATTTTTAGTGTTAGAAAACTGTTGCTTTTCAAATGCTTAAAACTCTCAGAACTTTATAATTAATAAAAATTTTTAAACTGTGAACCTAAAATCTTGGAGTTAGATGTCAAAAAATGATCGGCAAAGAAATCAGCATATTAATATGTAGCAATAGCCCCCAAATATGATTCATAGTGGTTGAACGAGCATCATATGCATGACACAAACAAGCGTGAGATCAAAAATCTGGTACAACGTCGGGATAAGGATAAGTGTAAATAATCTCATACGATAGATATATACTGTTGTCCGTAAGCTACGTAAGCTATAAGTTAGTATGAACAGTGTTGATTAGATGTTGTGATATTAGACAATGTGCCTATTGCGAATCGCGCTACGAACTCTACCTTCCAATCAATGTCATATACCTTGTAGAATAATATTACTGATGGAATTTTCCACAAGCCCTTTTAAAATTAAGTAGTAATGTCATCAATAATACTAATATCGATATAGAAACTGCTTGTATTTTGTAACACCACAATTTTCTGATCACATGGCCCGTGCATTTTTTTCATCATTAACGCGTCGCGGACTTGCACAATAACACTGTTTATCTTACGCCATCCTCTAACAAACTGAACATGTCGTTCGCTTGTGTTTCTGATGAAGTGTCGTCATTTAACCCACCAACTGTCCCGGAGACCTCGGAATCCTTCGTCATGCCTACTGATATACACCCAGTGCTGCAACAAATGGCCCTTAAAAACTGGGATTACCGTACGTTTGTGTTGCAACTGATAAAGTCAGGATCCATAATCGAGGACCCGGCAAAGGCCGAAGAAATATGGCTGGAAACTTTGCGAAGTTTATCCCGAAGGAAGAAGATCAGCTCGATATTCCGTGTTTTTTTCAAAAAATTGATAGAATATCAGATAAGTCCATGGGACGATGATAACAAGTTGTTGCATTCATTAATATATTTACTAAAGGTAGGTTTAAATTATGTACAGAAATTTGTAGAACTCGATGAAGAAACCGCAAGCGCTTTGGATCGTCATGCTGATCTGTGTGTGCGCTACGAAATTGCAAAATCAGCTGAACATATGGAGAATGTAGTAATATGTGTAAAGTGGTAATTGGTATCATTCAGATCAAACGTGTTGACCCCCTCCCAACTTTTTCAGCTCACGAAGAGCTCATATCGAAATTATTATGTCTCGAAAGAAATAAGCGATCACTTGCGTTCAGTGAGTTTTGCACTTGTTTTTTTTTTATTTGTTTGACATAAAATTTAATTCGCTTGATAACAATATCATTAGAAAGTCAATATGAAGGAAACTAAAAAAACTGAAAAACGAATTGTGATCTTGCCGGTAATTCTTGCGCATTCTAGCTTGTAGTAATGGCATGCATAATTACTTATTCCTCATTTATTTTGCATTACTATTTAGGGAAATGATGAATCAGACACTAGCACTAGCACTAGCAGTGAAGATGACTGTGAATTTGGACTAAAAGATAGTGATCTTTTTACACAAAGGTATAGTATTAGTATATCACTTTATTTGCATCATATTTCATTAGATTTACTAATCACTGCTAACTTTATATTTAGGTTCGCTGAATTGGAAACTTCAAAGAAATGGAAGTTGAAATCAGGCACATATGTTGAAGATGTACTTTATGAGCTTGGAATGACATGCCAATACCATAAGTAAGAATTGTTACATTAATGCTTTCTCTCTGTATTTGGTGAAGAAACTATCTAACAATGTTGATTTTTTAGTCTTGTTCATTCTTTTATTCTTGACCCTGAAGATCCGTTCATCAAAAATGCATTCACAGAAGAAGAGTTATTTGAAATCATTGAAAAGAAGAATGGTGAAGATCAACTAGAAATTGATGATGAGCTTCTTGAATATATAGATACTTTTGCGAAGGCAAGTCAAATTTTGAATTATAATCTCTTTTCTGTGACCATTCTTTGTAAAGCTTGATTCCCTTCTACAGAGCTCAACTCAAGAAATACGAGAAGCATTGAACACACCACATTCTCGACTTGGGCAGAACTACAACCCACAAACAGATTTCATGTATGAACACGTCAGGACCACAGTAATGGACTGGTGAGATGCAAAACCCTTTCTTGTTTGTGCCTTACTATTCATTATATTAATGCAATATGATACAGGGTCCGACTCCTCGAAATGCAACCAAACCCTCTAACTCTTGCTATGCCAGAAGGCTGGTATTGTGTTAATGTTTGGCGAACAATTGACATTGCATTTTCAGATACACCATACACCTATGTTATTGGGTAATTAATAATACAAGCCAACTTGTACTTCCTGCATGAGTCTAAGATTTTTTTTTCTCTTTGAAATGTAGTGGTGAGAAGGTGGGTGTGGCATGTACATGTTCTGAAAGAAAGAATCGATATAGAACACTGGCAAATGTTGGGCCAATCCAGCGAAAAGCCATTGGGAAAAAAGGAGATGCTTATGTAAGAACTATTGGGTCAACACAGATTGACTGGGCAGTGTCTGAAGCAGGAGCAAAATGGGAGGGTGTGCATGGCACAAAGTTGATGACAGAATGTGGCCTGAGTTTGCCTCGAACATTAAAAGACATTTTGGTTCATCTTGCCAGCAAGATGGGCTTTGCTGAACAGAAGTTGAGGAAACTAAATATAGTTGGTTTTGCACATGCTGGTTAGTGTGTGAACTTCTTAATGTAGTTTTTTCTTCTCACATTTTAATGACCGTTGTATTTTTTAAAGGTGCAATTTTAATTCGCACGAATCTTGATTGCCCAGCTGGGTATATTTGCCGTTACACGAGAGGAGAACCGCTTGAGGTGTACGCAAATGTGAAAAATTTCCACAAGTCTCTGGATGTTCTAGTAGAAATTATATATGCAAAAGTGAGTCTACATCAGTTTGCTTTTAAATTTCTTAAAATGCTTATTTTTCCTTTTCTTCTAGCTTCTAATATTGCAAACAATGGAAGTAGTGAGTAATGATGAAAAGAATTCTACTAATATTACAAGATGGAAAGCTAAGAGAAAGTTGATGTCAGATGTCACTAAGATACCTGATGTCCATCCAACGCCAAAAAATAAGAAGCAGAAAACAGTATCAATGATTGGCAAGAAAGGACAAACGTCTGGGTAAATTATATAATAATAATAATAATACTACCCAAGCCCAATCAACAAATTAACAGATGAACGACCTGACAGATTAAACAGTAATAGGGTTTTTGCTTTTGATTGAAAAATAAAATTGAATTGCAAATGTTATTGATGAGATCTTAATCTTCGGATTAACGAGGTTGACTATGTAAATCGAAGAAGAAAGGCAAATGATCATTTCACCTTTACAGTCAAACCTCGAAAAACCAAAACCATCAAAATCGATACAATTTTCAATTCTTGTGCAATTTATATGAAAATTCGTCGTAAAACTGATATTACAGTCAAACCTCGGAAAACCGATAGCGCTGAAATGTCGGTTTTTCGAATTAGGAGTATGATGGCCAATTATGATGCATGCATTGTTAGTCTGTACAACCTTATAATTTGGTTTATCGAACTTATCGGTTTTGCGAGATCTATATTAATATCTCATATGCCTTATTATTATCGGTTTTGCGAGATCTATATTAACATTAATATCTCATATGCCTTATCGGTTTTACGAGTAAAATTTTATTATAAATATTTCGGAAATTGAAAAAAGTATCGATTTTGCGAATTATCGTTTCACTGTATGTTACGGTCGGCTATTATGATGCGGGAGAGCGAATTGTATGCGGTTCTGTGCTCACTTAGCTCAGCTATCACTGTCCTTACTACAGTGACAGCATCAATTAGAGTAGGCTTACGGGGGTTTATGTACTTTGGTTTCAATCTGCTAAGGGAACAGGAATCGAGAAAGCGGGAATCACGTGTACAAGGATACAAAGATTTTAACAGGCCAGAGATGTAATACAAAAGTCACGCTCCTGCAACGTAAATAGGGGATAAGCACGATTTCGCGTTCTATAATCAATGATACTGAAGAAGAGAATGAAGACCGACCGTTGCACTGCCTGTAAGAAAAGTTCACACCCCCATCGCCCAGCGTTCTGTATCATAACATCGACAATTATTTCGTCAGCACGCCTAGTAGGAGCTACAGGGGGGATGGGAAGCTGTCTGCCAGTTGGCGAGTAGACTCCTGCCTGCGCGTTCATGAGTTTTTTCGTCTGCCAGTTGGCGGGAAAAGCTCCTCTGTCGCACCTTATTTCAACAAATGCTATCGCCTGCCAGCTGGCGGGTAGCCTCTTTGTAGTAAGGTAAACGGGTAAGACGGAATGAGGTCGTCTGCCAGGTGGCGGACCGAGTTCTAAGATGGTCTTCAGTATGTTGCGTCTGCCAGTTGGCGGCAGTGTATTTGGAGCCATGTATTTTGTTCACAGGTGACGGAATGAGGTCGTCTGCCAGGTGGCGGACCGAGTTCTAAGATGGTCTTCAGTATGTTGCGTCTGCCAGTTGGCGGCAGTGTATTTGGAGCCATGTATTTTGTTTACAGGTGACGGAATGAGGTCGTCTGCCCGGTGGCGGACCGAGTTCTAAGATGGTCTTCAGTATGTTGCGTCTGCCAGTTGGCGGCAGTGTATTTGGAGCCATGTTTCTTTTCCGTATTTTGTTAAGCGCATCAAGGCATCCTGGTTCAAGGAATAAGGGACGCGTTCTAGGATCAGAGTCCATTGGACGTATGCACATTCTCTTATCATTTGACTTTATTCCTCGGTATTGATCCTTGACCGGCTACAACCTAAATTCATACTCTACAGACAAATCACATCACTCTGTAACCATTTACGTAACTTGCTGAACATGAACTCAGTACAGACCCTCTTCTTCGGCATTCGAAAAATTCCAAGTTCAAAGAGACGGGTTGCATTTCACCTGAAGAGGTTGGATAATTTGTAGGCACACCAAAGCCCTCCCTTTCTGTTTGTTATGAGATCTTTAAAGAAGTTACTTTTGTGTTCATGCGAAGGCTTGTTTATGTCGAGGGTTTGTAGCTGCGGGTGATTTCTTAGTGTACAAATGTCACTCTATGTATATTTCTTCCAAAACTGCGCTTATTCTTCCTACCCTCATTAATAGAAGTTTTTTAGTGTATCCAAAATTTTCTTCTGTAAACCCTCTCATTACCGTCATAAGTAAAAAGTACAAACAACGCGGTAAGCAAACAAAGTGTTCCATGAGATTTAGCAATCTCAAACTTAAGTCTCATTGTATGTGGTTATTATTGTTAATCCAGCGCGCGCATAACTTGCATTCGATAATCCGAGAGTTACGGAAAATTAGATTTATTTGTATGACACATACAGTACATCCCCCCACTTTCGAATACGAGAGAGAGCAAACGCAATCATGGAAGTAATCTTGAGAACTATAGGTTTCCATAGAACTCGGGTGTATCGCTCTCCAACCACCAGCATCAATCAACTGGGTCGCAGTAGTAGGATATTTTCAGACGCAAGACAACAAGAAATTGTAATAGCAAGAGTAACATGATTAGAGTATGGACTCAAATGATAAGATCACTTAACCTTACACTTACACTAAGCCAAATCTATCGACAGATTCAGGGAAATAGTGATGTTGGAATATACAGTAATTCTCAGAAAAATAAATTCACCAAAGTTTATCAAGAGACATTTGGCAAGTTGTGATGTAGCCAGGACAGCACCTCGCTGTTGATCCAAAAGGGATATCTCAATGATCCCTGAGTAAAACTTGGGGAAATGACACCTTGGAGTATTGAAAATCTTTTATTGTTATTTGTTGTAGCAGTAATAAGGAAGCAAAGATATGTACTTGATCCATTCCAGGCTGCACATACCAATCTCAACTCGATTCTTGTTTGTTCAGTATTTATACTAGATTTTAGACTGATGCGACGATTATCATGTGACCTTTTCCCACTGGGAAGTGTCAATCTATTACTAAATTTAGCAAAATTCCTACTACTAAATACGGTATGGGAATTACTGATGAGAACTTACTCAATCTTATCTGTCCATAAAAATGGCCAAAGAGAGAGCCATAATGCTTTATGATACCATTGACACTCATCCACATGCCTTTTTTCAGCGTTACTTTAAATCCAACCATCTCAAAAGATCCCTCTTTTTCTTATTTATTATCGCCTTTGCGTCAACGCTCTTGTCTGTTTACAAATTGCAAACTGACTCGCAACACATTTTAGTGCCTACCGGGATATCACGAAGCAACTTTCGAGCAGGTTTAGAAAAATGCATGGCGATAATGAAGAAAAAACCTGAGAATACTCCGAAAACGACACGTCATAACCCACGAGCCGTACCTGGGACTAAGAGCGTTCTGTTAAAAAACGGAATTATTCTTGATGGTGTTGGTGGTGTTGTGCATGGTGATTTGTTAATGAAGAACGGTATCATTGAGGGATTTGGGAGGGAGATTGATGAAGGAGAAGCTGATGTTGCTATTGACGTTCGTGGAAAATTTATATCACCTGGTATTGTCGATATGCATAGGTATGATTTTTCGGTTTGGTTATTAGGAATTGAGCTATCTACAACTAATGTTGTGTTGCTGTTAGTCATGCTGGAGTCTACTCATGGCCTTATTTGAGAGCATCTATGGATCTCAATGAATCGACAGACCCTGTTACACCTTTTGTAAGTCATATCATTGCACCTTAAATATTTGATCTTATTATGTCATCTAATAGCAGTATTCGTTATACTTGGGATCAGGTTAGAACAATTGATGCTATTAATCCAAGCGACCCAGGTGACAACTCGTCTCATGTGTTATATATGATGTGATCAAGTCTAACCCTAACCATCTCGCTTAGCATTTAGAATCATTGCTTCTGGAGGGGTTACGACAATGTTGAGTAAGTAAATGTTACTATTCAATTTCATATCTGCTTATTAGACAATTGTGTCATGCTAAATTTATTCGGACGCCAGTAATACCAGGAAGTGCTGAAGTGATGGGCGGGGAAGGATTCGTCATCAAGCTACGTCCAGTCAGTACTTTGTCTGTACAGGACATGGGCATCCATGCCAATGTAGATCCAGGCTCTGAGCGAGTATGGAGATGGATGAAAATGGCATGTGGAGAGAACCCAAAGGTTAGACAGACATATCTTATACAATTATAGAAAATTTTGTTTTTGAATTGGTAATATTTGAAACTAATTTTTATCCGATTATGTAGAACTTTTTTGGTAATGTGGGAAAAGGCATGCCAAAGACGCGTCTTGGTGAAGCGTGGTTATTCAGAAAGAATTTCGACGCGGCAACGAAGCTCAAAATCTCACAAGATAATTGGTGTTTTACGGCATCACGCCTAAACTATAATGAAGAAATGAGTTCTCCTTTTCCGGAAGATCTTCGCTATGAGAGCTTGGTTGCTTTATTGAGGGGTGATGTTCGATTGAATGTTCATTGTTATGAGGTAGGTCATTACGTATCAGTTATCTCAATAAAAACTTTGAGCGTGGCTCTTACTTTGGTGTTTCTTTTCTATTGTGCTTTCCCGACTTGTTAGACTATGGACCTCGAAGCCATGATTCGTCATTCATACGAGTTTAATTTCAACATCACGGCATTCCATCATGCGCTTGATGCGTATAGAGTCCCAGATATAATCAAGCGCAGTAGAAATCAGATTACCATAGCCACGTTTGCCGATCTCTGGGGATATAAGAAAGAAGCTTTCCAGGCGAGCACAGAGTCTCCAAAGATTTTGGCAGAAGCAGGAATTCCGGTTGCTTTGAAAAGTGATCACCCAATACTCAATTCGGTATTTGTTCGACATACAATAAATTTACTTGCTATGCATAAGTGATAATCTCATCAGCGAGCATAACTGGTGGATACCTTTGTCTTTCCCTATTGTGTGTTATATATATCAGCAACATTTAGCATTCGAAGCTGCTAAAGCTTCATATTATGGTCTCAGTGAACCTCATGCTCTTGCTGCCATCACCTCTGTTCCTGCTAGAGCATTGGGAATTGACCATCGTGTTGGAACGATTGCCGTTGGATATGATGCTGACGTTTTGGTATGTGGATTAGAAAGTGACCAAGGAGTGAAATATTGAATTGTACCAACGTTACGCTTTGCTTTATTGTTGTCTTACTAAATTTGTATTTAAAAAACGCCGTTAAGGTATGGAATAGACATCCACTCGCCTTGGGAGCTTATCCGTTGGAAGTTTATATTGATGGGATTCCTCAGTTTAACACTTCTCCGTCCGTCCTAAGCGGTCCAACAGATGAGGCGTATACGTTCTACAATGCCACGCGGCACTCTCCTGTGGATAACAAGGAACGTGTTGTATCTTCGGTAATAATCAAGAACATTGGTAAAATATTCGTTGGCGAAGAATCGATCATGGAATCTACGCCTACTAGTTCGCTCACAATAACCGTTAATGAAGGCCGCATTATGTGTATTGGACCAGATTGTAGTACCACCAACACGATTGGTTATGACGTGGTTGATTTGCAGGGTGGTTATATATTGCCAGTAAGCTTATTTTCATTGATATGGCGCCATCGTATAATGAATAGCTTATAACACAATGTTTCATTCTAGGGCATCATTGCCGCTGGATCTGTTCTTGGATTATCAGAAATAGAACAAGAACGAATAACGCAAGACGGGTATGTCGATTCATTTAAGAGTCCTGATCACCCAGAGAGAATAATTCGCGCAGTTGATGGATTAAAACTCGGCGGAAAGCATCTTGAGAAAGCATACAAAGCGGGTGTGCTTACTATTATCAGTCCTCCGATGGCTCATAAAGGCGTACTAGTTGGTGTGTCCGCCGCATTTAAGAGCGCTGGCAATAGTGGTAAGATGTCGTTATCGAGAATGCATTTATCGATTAGAGATTAAATGTTTATGTGGTTAATGCCACACAACTCACTTGACAGTCGTTGATGACGAGAATGAAGTTATTGCCAAGGCAGAAGTCGCACTACATGCGCAAGTTGGTACCCCATACAAAGACGGTATGTTTACAATTAAACGGCAATTGAGCCCTAGTTCAATAGGTTCACCTGCTAATAGCACTCTAATCTCGTTTTCTCATGCGCTTACAAACAGAATTGATCACAACGGTATCCGGTCAAATAGCATTCTTGCGCAAAGCCCTTTTCGATAATCTCGCTTTGAAAGAATCGCTAAATTTCTACGCGCTCGCCGCGAAAGGCGACATACCATTCGCAGTCTATACGCATAGTAAAGACGAAATCGCATCTCTAATCCGTCTGAAGGATGAAATAGATGGGGCAGGTGGCAAACTTCGATTAGTTATCGTTGGAGGTGCAGAGTCTTATTTGCTGGCATCTCACTTGGCCAAACGGAACATACCGGTGGTCGTCATTCCGGCTAGACCTGTGCCCGAACT